CTGGTTTAAATGTCGAAGGAAATAAATCTTTCTCATCTAGTTATTTCTGTGGTGGTAAGTTAACTTTGTGAGTATGCATACAACGACAAATCATTCATGTATTGTTATGCTAAATGGAATGCTATCCCAGGAGTGTTATCCCTTTACAGTTCCACACTATTTTGCGCATGAAAAAAATTTCGTAACAAAAAAGAGCATTGATGTGTGCTTTCAGAAAATGCGGTCTTGTTTGTCAAATATTTCTTTCAACAAAAGTAGCACGTTCAGTTCCCAGTTTACGTGCAACCCAGCAAAACGTAGACAAACTTATATTTGCATACGTGCTGAATAGCACATGCCCGGTACCATGATGTGTCCACAATGAAATTCTGACCTTGTTTCCAAGAAAAGTGTAAATTTTGTGTTTGTCTTCCTTGATGGAGACAGAAACTAGTTCAACCAATTTCATTTCATTGACTAGCCAAAGTGGCTAGTGGAAATCAAAAACCTACTAGCCAAAACTAAATTTCTACTGGTCTGTGGCTAGTTGGCTACTGCTAGTGACAAGCCCTGCCAAAGACAAGATATGGAGTGCACCAGAATTAGCAATGGGTATCATGATAGCTATCCTTTGTTTCCATAGTAACCCTGTTTCCATGACCACCTTACTGACATATGTAATATTTAAGTAATAGAAAACACGTACCGTGTTTCTATTGAGTTATAGAAACACGAGTGGAAGTTTGGGAGAACGAGAAATGCAGTGGGAACACGAGCCGCAGGCAAGTGTTTCCACAGCTTTTTCGAGTTCTCCCAAACTTTTACCAGTGTTTCTATAACTCTATAGAAACATGGAGAACATGTTTTCTATTTCTTTTAGAAAACACCGCGACGAAAAAAAGGAAAGCAACGTGTTAACTTTGATTATCAAAATGTAAATTCTCTTTGTTCATGCCATCATTACGTCAACAGCTTGTGCTAGTTCTGTGTTTCTATCGAGTAATAGAAACACGATTTTTAACCAATCAGTTCACATATTTTCTTAGGACTGTTTGCTAAATGTATTTGCTGCTATACTAGGTACAAAAAGAACACTACCTTAACTACAGAAGAGCATATTTTAAGGAAAGCACAGACATCTTCTCAAGCAATTCAAAGGACTTATCTAAGAGCGGTAAGTGTAAGGATACTGCCATCTTGTTGTTGCTTTAATTTTCAGTTGCATTACGTAATCTAGTAAGTATATTATGCTTATAAGGATAGCTGAGACTGAACAATAATGAATATATGTAAACAATAGCCTCCATTGGGAGCAAAAATCCGCTTCAATATTTGTCTGCGGACACTACCTGTTCCAAGAAGCGGACTGTTTTCAGAGAGCATAGCTCAACAAAAACTGTGAGCTTTGGGGAACAGGTAATAGGACAAATATCTGAGCATTATTGTCAGGCCACATTCAAATATTTTTCGCAAAAAATTGGAAAATCTTACCCGGATATTCCCTGTTTTAGCTGGGGAATGTTCAGTCATGTGATGCATTTAAATAAACCAACTGAGCGCTAGTGAAAATATTTGATGGATTATAAGCTATATTGAATCCCCCCCTCCACACCACTAGCCCTAGAAAGGAAATTAGGCTACTGGGAGTCCAAAGGATAGCTTTGGTCCTGCCAGGATTTGAACACACATACCTCAGGTCAGATCACCATTGCTCTAATATGAGTTAAGTCTGTTTCAAAGCAGCTTTATCTGACTAACTCTGAGAATGCCTATTGTTTAAGGTGATTCCTTAGTATTGCATTGCACGTTCCTACTGCGCACAATTTTCACGTCATAAGCGTGCACACATGAGCGCGCGCACATACAAAACATAAGAGATTTCCCTCAACTAAGCTCAATAGCGAAATAAATGCTCTTTTTTTTCTTAAACGGACATGGTGACCCCACTTTTTATTTGATAATTTCAATGAGAACAATACGCTCAATAACTGCAAGAAAATTAGCAGAAATCTATGGCTACTTTTTTGGCAAATGAAATAAACACTACAGAGGGAGACGTGACAGGCCCAACGGCCCATATCCAAATTTAGTTTCCTTAAAGGATAAAAAAATGCAGGGTATTTGAAGACATTAATTTTTTCTGGGACGTAGATGAATAAACAATCAAAGAAAGTCAAACTCTGTGTGATATAACACGCTGCATTGAAAAATAATTGAGCTTATTTGTTGTGCTCGGAGATTACCAAAAGTCACCTAAATAACCGTATTTGTCAGCATTGTGGCATGAAAACAAGCATGGTGACCCCCTCTTTTCACTACGTTTTTGATATCTCCTTGTCCCATAACAACAGCATACCAAGTTTCATTGGAAATCTATGGTAGGTTCTTTCACTAGGGAATCACCTTAAACAAATTATTTACTTGTAAGGGAATATTCCTTCAGCTCACTTACTTTATATAATGAATGCATAATAAATCTCTTAGGTGGAGAGTTTAGTCTTGGTCCCAGTCCCTTCAGAGTGTCGTCAAACACCTCAACTTCTGCCATGCCAGCTACTGGTAACATCGCAGGTATGATGGAGACAGGCTGTGAAGCTAAAATGATATACAAAAAGTGTGAGCAAAGAGTAAAATGCCTTAAGTTTACAACAACGACAACATGCCTTTATTTCCCTGGTCTCACAGAAGTATTTTGCAAAGTAATATAAAATTATTAATAGAGTTAGGGGCCTGGCTACCTGAAACAACTAGAGAGTTAAAAAGGGCAGGCAGCCAGGTCTACAGATGTATTAATATAAGTTTAGGTCGGTATACACACATACAACACAGAACACATACAATTTAGTGAGTAAATAAATGCTATACTAGAACATTTGTTAATGCTAAACCGTGATCATCTGCAAATAAACCCTGGGTTTTTTTTGGTCTCGTTAAATTATTTGTGCACTAACATGTATCATATTATGTATGAACGTTCATGCATTATGCAGACATTCACACATTCCCCATGGCCTAAAAAAGTTGTTAACTTGCCCTTTCAAATTCACCGGCACTCATCACGACTCCTGGGTGAGGAGAGGCACCTTTAGCGTTTGGTATGTTAGCAATGAATATAGAGACGTTTGGGCACACAGAACGACACTTACTTTCAACTACTTCAGCTATTTATGATAATTAACTACTTTAAGTTTTGGGTCCTATGTAACTATCATTTTACATATGAAATTATATTGCTCTTTTCCATATTTTATTTGATATGTTTTTATTAGCTCCTCAGGCGTTTGGTCTTAGCGGACTTCAGAGAAATCCTACTGGTTTAACAGGTACTTTGAGTTCCACTGGAACAAGCTCTCTCAGTAATCCATTTGGTACCACTACAGGCCTCGGCGGTACAAATATACCTGGGGCCGGTGCATTTGGATCACTGCTAAACACCGGCACTTTAGGAACCTCTGGACTTGGTACCACTACTGGTTTAACAACTGGATTTGGGACTCCTGCTTTGGGGGCTTCCACGGGAGGGGCATTGGGTTCTTCTGGTACAGGGCTTGGTGGGAGCACTTTTGGCGCAGGGGCATCGGCATTTAGCGCTCAACCCAAGTTTCAACTTCAACGGCCGCCAGCTGGTAACAAGAGAGGAAAACGAAGGTGAAAAAAGGCTTTTTAGTCCTTTATTCACCCTGTGTAAACTGTGTGCTTGACTGACTTGAACCTGAGCTTTGTTGCTTGCAGTGGCGTTTCAGTCGACTCGAAAAATACCCGCAACAAGGCTTGAGTGAATTTCATCTACGAACACTTTTAAATTTTGCGAGGAAAGGATACTGAAGCTGTTTTTTGTTTGTTTGTTGGTCAATGTCAAATTAGTCTGTAAAATCTGGATAGTAATATAATCAGGCCATAAACTCAATGTTTTATAGAGCTCTATATTCGTCTTAGGTTTACCAGGGACATTTTTTGACTCGAAAAAGGCGCATGTCGCTTTGACGACTTACGCAGCTTATCCTGTTAACAACGGGCCCTTCCTTGACCAAACATTCCTGTTAGAAATCCGGAAAAGTCTAGTGAGAAACGGAACAGCTTTCTGCTCTAGTCGACTGTACCTGAAGCGAGAATATACTTTTTAACCAAGATTTCCAAACAAGATGACAATCTTGTAAGGTTTACCCAAATTTTCGACAATTTCTGTTGGACGTTGCTCCCAGAATTTCCCAAGTTTTTAACTGAATTGTTAAAATTTCGGAAATTCAGCAGTTTCCAATTTTCCTGGAGACTTTCCCGTGAAATTTCCTTGCCATTCGCTACCTTTCCGAAATTTTTGGTCAAATGGAGAGCGATGATTAAATAAGCTATTCAGGATAAGTCACTTTTATTTTGACGCAAAACAGTAAAGTGAATATGATTTATATGTTTTTTACACTATGACCCTTCCTAGCGGAGAGCGCTTTTCATTTGCTCTTTACTTATGCCAGAGAGGTTAGTTCGCGGAGGTTAGTTTACAGACCTTCTATTTTGTCTTAAGATCGTCGAGCGTGAAAGCAAAATAATACTTCGCGGCGACTGAACGACTGCCGCCCGGGCAAGAGGAGGAGGCTTCGCTTGCTTCTTTGTATAAAAGGCTTTTCGTTGTAATGCGTTTTTGACAACAAGTATTTTCCAGTTGTCAAACGATTTGACTCTTGTTTAAAGCGTTACGGTAAAATTTTCGCTTTGAATTTGGAGAATGAAATGTGGCTTTCTTTAGACAAATGACAACAATTTTATTTGGTTCCAAAACTAGGTTTCCTTGCATAGATTAACAAGTTTTTGTTTCGTGGTGAAAGATTGTTTATTTTCCTCTTAATTTTTTTCACAAATACTGCTAGCTACTTGCAGATATTTTTGCCAACACTCAATACAGTAAAAACTCGCATGGAAGAACCTGGTGATTTAAGAACCTTCTGGCAAAAAATTTACCATTTTAATGCCTAAAAATATAAGAACCTGTTTAGCCAAGGAAGATCACGAAGGTTTTTAAATGTGGATTACAGCTAAATTATGATAACCATTATAATCTAGGAGTTTGACCTTGAGATTGCAAATTTACATCACAAGAAAATACGTAACAAAGTTAATAAATACTGTATATTGAAGGAACAAACGGTTTGAAACCCAGGTTTATTCATTTTTCTAGTAATTAACAACTATATCTCCTTCATAGAAATTAAGAACCTAATTAGGATCCTACTTAGCCTAAATTACCCCAATTTTGCCAGACTTCAAAAAAGTTAGGTTCTTACAGGCGGGTTTTTGCAGTATTCAATGCTCTTTTATACTAACGATTTGAATCAGCTCAGTGACGAAATTTACTTTTTATTGCATGTAGTTGTGGCAGACAAACAAAAGACTTTGTACAGGACTAGTTACTATTTATCAGTTCCCCCCGGCAATATGAACAGATTCAATAAAAAAGCAACAAAACATACAGAGTGTGTACTGAAAGGGCACAGAATGCTCATATCATAACTGAGAGATCCTTCATTCTCTACATAAGTTATTGTTGACCAAAACAACCAGAAAAATTTTTTAGCGTGTCCTCTTTTAGTTTCTTTTAAAACCACCAGACGCTTTATTACCCAGATGGAAAACTCTTGGAGATAAAAAGAAGATAAAAGGTAATTAAAACAGAAAATTTGGTAATAAATTTACCCAGAATAACTTGATAGCCAATCGAGCTGAGTAATAGTAGATTCATAGTATTCTTCATAGGAAGAAGTTGGTTGGCGGTAAAGCTTAAGGTGGGGGAGGGGGGGGGGGGGGGGGGGTTGGGCTGTAAGGAGACAAAATAAGGGGAAAATAAAAAAAAAAAATTTAAAAATCGAAGTAAGCGGGTTAAATCATAAAATCGCTAAATACCTAGGAATAAGGTAAATTAATATATCAATCACTAATGAGCACCAGATGAAAACTCATGAATGTTGGCAATATGGTTGTGAGATGTTAGCTTAACTTTGTTTTTGAAACTTTTAAGGGGAAGGTCTTTAATACTTTCATTCAAATTATTCCAAACTTTCACAGTTGTGAAAGTTGTTCGGTGTGTGTGGTTTTCGTTTCTTTTAATTTTTTTTTCTGTCAAGTCTTTTTTTTTTCTTCTTCTTCTTTTGCTGCGTTTGGTGGCACGAAACATCATTCTAGTCCCCAGAGCCCCTCAACCTCCAACCTCCCAGCCGGCGGGGCTTGTGGCAAGCGTGATTCTTGGTCTGATTCAATGCTGGTTTCCTTCAGTTCCCGAAAATATCCACAGGTTGATCTCTAACTAAGACCGTTCTTACCTGCAAAATTAAGATGTTCTTAAAACTAAGGGAAGAATTTTCAGCGATGTCCCCCATAAAGAAACATGTCAATGCCACTTCCAGTGTGATTTCTTTTCTCTTTTAAATTCTCTTTGTTAAAATCGGTTAAGGTCTGTAGGTACACAATATCTCACGATTTCTCAGGGGTGATCAATGTACCGAACATTCTTCCCATTTCTGTTTTACATGCTGCTAGGGAGTAAATATGTACTCTCCAGTTTCTAGACTGCATTAGCGTCCCTAAAGATACATAACTGACAGTTATTGTGCAGTTAGGAACAGTAAAATTACTGATACAGTGATGTAGTCCGTGATGTCAGGCCTCCAGTAAAGTAACTAACAACTCGTGATTTCTGAATTTAGTTTTAGTACCGACGTAGCATTTACCCTGCCTCCGTAGAGGAGGTCCAGGCACATGTGAGGTTCGCGTGATGTAAGATAACCCGTTAGCGGGTTTTGTATTTTGTGTACGTGCAACTTTTATTATTTTCTTTAATAGCAGATACAATGCGCAAGCAAGCGTTAGGTCAAATATAGCGACTTTGAAATTAATTTGATTTACGCCGAGAAGGGGAATAAATGACGTTAAGGTGAACTGAGTTCTGTGTAGAGTGTTTTGGTCTGTCCGACGTTTGTCAGTTTCCAGAGGATGGTCACTGACTTCCTTTCTTCTCTTTTGAACCAAATTGCTTTCACATCAAAATCACCCCATGACCATCTTTACAGGACAATAAATGATAAGTGATAAATTAATAAAGGCGGTGAATTTTAAGCTCGGTAATGAAATTTGAAGGTGAATTAATCAACATGACAAGAGCGTGGGACAAAGAAAAATTCTGAGTCCCCGACAGGAATCGAACCCATGACCTCCCGAACACCGGGCGGGCGCTTAACTTAACATCGTTTTCTAGCAGTAAAACTTTTTTACCCTTTTTTACTTTTGCTCTTCGTGGATCATGGATTACATTCTTTGTGTTGGGGGGTGGTGGTTGAGGGGGACTTACAGTGGTATTCAAAACTCTCTTTGAAAAAGAACTGTCGAGAAACGTATGGACCATATATTGTAAAAGGGCTCTCTGATTTCAAACGTGAACAGTGAACGCTATGTCGAGAGGTGGGAAAAATTGGAGTTGGGGAAACTAGCTCGCAACCAGGGTGGGGGATATGGCTTGTAACCAGGGGGAGAGGGGATCAGACTTCAAATGACCGGAATATTTTCCCTTAGAGGGCAAATGGGTCGACAACCACGTGCGATTGTGCGTGTAACAAAATTAACACCGATCATTCATATCTGGCAGTCGTTTCAAAGTCGATCGATACAAAGTACACCTTCCCTCTTTCTTCTTGTCGAAGCTAAATAATTTACACCCCCTCTAGGCAATACGGATCTCCCTCTCACGTGACCTGCAGTCGAGTTTCAAGATGTCGATGAGCGAGAATTTTGCGATGTGTCTGTTTACATGAAACATTGGAGATTTGACTCTGATCTTTGCCAACGCCGAGTACTGTCCTAGATATTAATAGCTCCAAGTGTGTTCGAGCCAGCTGTTTGCTGTAAATTGCTTTCTTATCAAATTCAAGGTGAGCCAGTGGCGGAGGGTGTTTAGAAGCTGTTAGCTATATTTGTCGTCCGTGTACGTAATTCGTTTCGTTTATGTGTTTATAAGTAGTTATAGGGTGAATACTAGAAGTGAAATTAAGCTTACTTGCTTGTTAATGGTGTCATTTCCTCAGTTGTCAAGCAAGTTTGATTGTGACTCTCGTCCTAGTGCAATTCTAAGAGTTTGTTGTTTACGAGTAAGCTCTCCGTTTTTTAACGAGCTCCGTGTGCACAAACTGAAAACGATAGAAAAAGTTTTGTGATTTACAGAATGATAAGCTCGGCTTTTAAATCAATGTGGATGCTCTCTAGTGGTTTGTTAAAAGCTGTATAATTTTATGATCAACAACAAGGCTTCGCAATCCTTTCGTCCTCTAAATGGTGTTCTTTACACCGTTGCTAGACACATGTCGACGTTTTTCCTTGTTTCATCGTAGCTTAGAGTTGACATTCAGCATTCTTGTTGTCATCCGAACGGATGTTTTCGTAATGGCACATGATGTTCTTGCATCCTGTTGTATCAATTGCGAGCTAATATCAAATTGTTGTCTTCTTTTAAACACGGGATTTTCTTGTGGTGGGTGCTGGTTTTATCATGTTGTATGAAGACAAGTCATAAAATTAGATAAAAATTGAAAACAATGTTGTCTGTCAATAGTTTATCAGTAGTCTGTTTCTATCTTATAAAAGGTCTTTCTTCTTGCTACAAACAAATACAAAATCATTAGTGTCATAACTGTGCTTCTGATCTAGCATAAACTCATTGTTCTGTGAGAATTTCTGCATACCAAAGCAACATGTACATGTTCCTTGTGGTTCTATTCTTGACAACATTTTCTTTTAATTAATATTTTTGTTGCACTGTGTGTTAAAGTTAAAACAATTAATATAACCCTATAAAAATTAAAGAGGCCTCATAGCAATATTAATTGACTCAGACACCAGTAAAGCTTCTTGATATAAGCTTACATATCTTTTGTCAGAGAAAATGCAAGAAAAAGCTTTGCTTTTGCATATAATTGTCAATTCCTGCAGTGGCAAGTACTTGTATTTCTGGCACAAAAGATATTTATTTAATGTAAACTTGAACCTTCTATGAAATTATCTTCAATGTGTTAATAAAATGTGACAAATGAAATCTAATTTGCCCCTTTTGTTTAAAAACACAGGGCTCATAGGCAGTGAAATGCACAGTTTAAGAAGTCAGGACTGTGTTCAATGAGAAACATTTCGGTTGGAATACATGAAATTTTTATTATGTTGCCTTCCAGGTTATTATTAAATAAATCCATATTTTACTCTCTTTTTGTTCTTCAGTCCAAGTGATTCAGGTTTTGGTGGTTTAACAGCATCACCCTGTTTCAAAGCAATGCATTCTTGCCGTGAAAGAACTATTGCATAAATAAAATTTATTTGGATGTATACAAATTTTGTAAAATATGGATGCCATGCTAAGATATGAAAAATCTGCATAACTGTCAAAGGGAAAACCTCAAAACAATATCTGGTTGTCCACCTAGTACATACATTTATTTCCATCCTTAGCTCCAGAACTTTATTTATTTATTTGTTTATTTATTTGTTTATTTTACAAACTGAAATAATTATTCTGTATTGTGGACTTAAGAAGTCATGATTTTTTAAACGTAAATTCAGTGCAAAGGAGACGTAATATTTGGTAGTAGCTGAGATTTAAGAGTACTGAGACAGAGGGTAATTTTGTTAGCTTTAAAATTTCCTTCATTCCCTCAGGGTGTCTACTGTTACATTTGAAAATAGCAAGGAGTATATTGTTTATGTGATCACTGTGAAATGTTTCCAGTAATTTAGTGTCCTGAAACTGAGTATTGTGTGTATTAGAATGTTATTTTAATCCACAACATTTAAAAAAAAAATTAGTAATCTTGGAATCAAGGTTGATGATTTCATTCTCAACCCCAGAGCCAATGATTTATAGGCTGCAAGAAAAATTGTACAAAAGGTTAGAGCTTTTTGGTCAAGAATGCAATGGCTCCTGAAACAGGTGTGGTCTTTTTCTCTTCTAGGATGGGTCAGACTCTCTCAGAGCCAGTGACCACAAAGGAGACATCATCCTGTTCAAACAAGTTGTACAAAGTTGGCTCTTCTTGTATGCAGGGATGGAGGATAAGTATCCTTTGTTAAGTCTGCAGATCCATAATTTCTTTGGGTGCAATTACAGTCAAACCTGTATTAGGCAGGCACCCTAGGGACCAGTGCTAGTGTCCGCTTAGTACAGGGTGTCCGCTGTAAACAGGTTCCCTCAGAATTCATCTTAAAAGGGTCTTATTGATATTCGTTAGTATTAAAAGGCCTTGAAAGGGTCAAATAGCATTCTTGCAAACGATTGATAACTCTGAAATACCATATTTCCATAAACAATGACAAGTATATGAGGTAAAGTGATTTAAGAACACAGCAACAGTATCTATATTGATCAAATTATGCGACGGTTCACAAAATCAAACGAGAACAAAAGTTTTGTAAAAACATTAGTGAGTTATAAAATATCACATTTCTGTGACAGCTGTTTGTCGGCAAACTTAAATGACTGATCTATTAAAATGTCGACAAAAAATCTTGCATCCTTTTTGCAGTGTCTGGTTAATACAGGTGTCTAACTGCACGATAGAAATGACCATAAAAGTCAAGGTTAAGCTGTCCACGTCTGCTTAAAGGGGCTCAGTCATGGTATTTTGAGTTATTTTGGCCACAGACAAAATTACCTTTAAATGGTAGGAAACCTGAAAATAACAGTTTAATAAGATAGGAAAACACCAAAGACATAATGATAAATCATAAAGGAACAAGGATGGCTAAGGATGGAGAAGATTAACACAGATTACAAACAACGAATTTGAAAAATTGAGGCTAAACTTTTCAATATGCGCAAACCGTGACTGAGCTCCTTTAATAGAGGTGTCTGTCGAATACAGGTATTTTTTACAGTAAATGTGGGAAAAGAAAAAATGGGACTTGCACTGCTGTCTGTTTAATAGAGGGTGTCCACTTAATATGGGGTCTGCTTAATACAGGTTTGACTGTAATTTAAAAACTAAAAGAAACTACAGCATTTGGTGACTCAATCATGTCTACGTTGTATGTTCTGAAAAATACATAAAACATAGACATGCTTGTCTATGTTCTGAGAATACCAAGTGGAACAGTGGTACTGAACGAACAAACTGTTCAATTACTGAATAGTAAGTTTGCTCATTTTTGTTCACAGGGTCATTCATGGAAGGTTAGTACCATGTCACACTCTCCTCTATCACAAAGAAAATTTTCCACAGCAAACTACCTTGTCATCTGCATAGCAGGGCTTGTGATATTTTGCGTAGTCACAGAGCCAAGAATTTCAATTAAATCTGCAAAATTCACAAAAACACTCAAAGTACCACAAAATGTCAGTACAACATATTTGAAACTTATCTTGGCTGTTGGGGCTGTTTACTTGCAAGTGGTAAACTTGGAAATTTATCGTGAAACATCGTCACTGCAAAAAGTAAACAACGTCCAAAAACTACCAGGCATTCTTAGATTAATGCTGTGAAAAACTGGACAGTAGCCACATTGGAAAAAAATTTGCCATTGGCACATTTCTTGGGCATGTTGTTAAAAGAGCAAATGATGATCCCCAGTTTTAGAAAGGCTATACTAACAAGTAGTTGGTGTTTCTGTTGCTGTTGTTATTGCATAGGCGAATGCGTATCATTTTCCCCAAAAAATTGCAAAATTGCAGTCTTTTTTTGTTAATAACATTTTTGAAATCTGTGCAAAACCAATTGCTTTCCAGTGAAATTTGCCCAGAAAATTCCCACAAAATTGGTCGTTTTTTTACCAATCATTTTTCAGTGAAATTTCCCCCGAAAATTTCCGGGAATCTGATGCAAAATCAGCCATTTTTTCCACAAATTTGTCTCTGAAAATCCCACAAAATGTGACTTTTTTTTCCACAACGTATCTGAAAATCAGGAGCCCTGGCATAGCACCACATTTTAAGGTGATTCCACAGAAAAATTTAAGATGTTGAATGACTTTTATGAAACTTTACTGAAGTGTTCCCTACCAAGCATTGTTTGCAAAATACATGGAGAATTAAAAAAAGGTAGGTTGCCATGCTCATAAAATAGATATGATGGGCCTATCTTACTTCATTTATGCCTAATCATGTGCATTATTTAATTGCTTCATGTTTGATTTTGCAGTAGCTGGAAGCAAAGTTTTTAAAAGAAATACTTGAAAAAAAACCTTCATAAGTAGAAGGTCTCAAGCATATGGAACAACCTTATGTTGAGTACCTTGAGTAACGGTCTTGTGCGTACTTTTAGCTATTTCTTTTTTTTCCTTCTAAAGAGTTTTTTTTTTTTTTATTTTTAACTTTAAAGAGGATGATTTTTACACCAAAATCATGTTATAAAAAATGTTGGTCACCAAGCTCTTTTGGGGAGGCACGGTGGCCTCATGGTTAGTGCGCTCGTCTCTGGATCGAGTGGTCCGGGTT